AGATATGAAATGCACTTCTCCCAACTAGGCCCATGTCTGCAGTTTAACCAACAAGAAATCAGCGATGAGCACCGAGGGCTAGACCGGCTCGTTCTGGAGCGGCTGCCTCCGTCACACACCTGGAAGGCGCGGGCAAGTTGCGACACGGACATGACAAGCCACTAGCTGCAACGCACTTGCAGTCAGACCTGAACTGAAGCAGACGAGAGACTCTGGGATCCTGGCTTGTGATGAGACAGGCCACAGACAGGCCACAGCGTTGCTGGCGGTAACCCTGAAGCGCAACGAGCAGTCTAGATTGCACGTGCCAACATGTTGTAGTCAGACCTGCACTGCAGCACGCACCATGACAAGCCACTCGCTGTGACATAGACGTGACGAGACTCTGGGATCCTGGCTTGTGACCACCACGTTGCTGGTGGTAACCCTGCGGCGCAACGAGGACTCTAGATTGCACGTGCCAACATGTTGTAGTTAGACCTGCGATATAGCCGCTGTAGGACGCGCCATGACAAGCCACTCGCTGTAGCACAAAGGTGACGAGGCTCTGGGATCCTGGCTTGTGACGAGACAGGCCACAGCGTTGCTGGCGGTAACCCTGAAGCGCAACGAGCAGTCTAGATTGCACGTGCCAACATGTTGTAGTCAGACCTGCACTGCAGCACGCACCATGACAAGCCACTCGCTCTGACACAGACGTGACGGGACTCTGGGACCCTGGCTTGTGACCACCACGTTGCTGGCGGTAACCCTGCGGCGCAACGAGGACTCTAGATTGCACGTGCCAACATCATGTTGTAGTCAGACCTGCACTGCAGCACGCACCATGACAAGCCACTCGCTGTGACACAGACGTGACGAGACTCTGGGATCCTGGCTTGTGACCACCACGTTGCCCTGCGGCGCAACGAGTTGTTGTAGTTGCACTGCAGCACGCACCATGACACGCCACGAGCTGTGACGCAGACGTGACAAGACTCTGGGATCCTGGCTTGTGATGAGACAGGCCACCGCGTTGCTGGCGCGGCAACGAGGAATCTAGATTGCACGTGCCAACATGTTGTAGTCAGACCTGCACTGCAGCACTGCAGCACGCACCATGACAGGCCACTGGCTGTGACACACACGTGACGAGACTCTGGGATCCTGGCTTGTGATGCGACCGCATCACTGCCTGCAGCAAGGTTCGAAGCATTGTGTGTGCCAAGAGAGAATCAGCACTGTACAGCAAGCCAGGCAAGCCCAAACGACCTTTTTGGCTGCAGACATTCTCTGTAGGCTTTACAAGGAGCCGTGTGGACAAACAACTCAGCGATTGCTCCTTCTCTGTCTTCTGTTTGTTGGCAATGGAGCATTCAGAACATTTGCTTCAGCCCAAGTGATCTCCCTGCCAGGGCAATCAGAAATTCTTTTGGCAAGGTCTATCACCAGGAGCGGCTGGAAAAAAGGCCCTTCAACACAGGCCTCAGCGCCAAGATGCGCGAAGCATGCCACGTAATCAATCGTAAACACGCATGCCAGCTGCTGAGCTGACAGCCGGTCGTCCACATAAGGCGGGTCATGGTGGGAAAGCTGGACAGTGACAATGAACTGGGCCAAAAAGCGCCGAAGCTGCGCATCACATCTTCAAGGAACCTGCCTTGCCAATAGTCATGAACATCTGCGGCACCGGCAGCTGGTCTCCTCTGCGGCGTTGCTCACTTGCCTATGTCAGATTGTGGTGTCTCACATTTGACAACACACCGCGCCTTCTGAACCAGGAGTTCTATGATCTGCCTGACACATGTGTGCAACGTGAGACAAAATGCCTTACGCGATCTGAGGGCCTGGCACCAAGGTGGGGTCCACGTTGCAAGTCGGGCAGTTGGCCACCCACCCATCCCCTGACCTGTCAGCAAACAATGCGCTGGCCTGACACGTTGACTTGACTTTGGACCTCCAAGACCCTGGCCGCACCAATTGGACGCTGGACAGCAAGTCATGCTCCGCAAGTTGCACCCAACGAGAAAACCTTGGGCAGAGGCAAGAAACAAGCCGAAAAACAGAAAAGTCTTTCAGCCCCTGGCAAGTCACCTGCTGGACAAGCCATTCCCAGCTGCTGCTGGAAATGCCATTCGAGGTTCTGCGCCCTCAGCAGCAAAGCAGAAGGTTAGCAACGCAAGGGAAGAGCAAGATTCACTTGGGCGCTGGCTCGCTCATGAACAGGTTGAGACGATCAAAATCAACCACCCTCCCAAGGCTGCTCATGCTTCCCTCCCACGGTTTGATTATGTTTGACCGCTCTTGGCTGCGGCAGGCTGGCAAACAACTGGATTAACTGGAGCGCGCGCCGCGTCACCCACGCCACCAGCCTGAGACATCCAGGTCCAGGCTGGGACGCCTCAAGCAAAGACACAGCCAGAACCAAACCTGTTTGACTGCCACATGCAGTTCAGCTCACTGTGGGCCTGACCTGGAATGAGACAGGCCACCAGCGTGTCGTTCTGACCTGGAACATGCAGCTAAAATATGCTAAAATGCACCAACCGCTTGCTGTGAAGGCCACTCGCAACTCAGCTGCACGCCTTGTCAGAACAACTGGAAAATGGAAGAGCAGGACTCGCCTGGGCACTAGAAACCGGCCACTGTTTCCTTTTCATTATTTTCCCATCTTTGTCCTATGACGATCAGACCACTGAGACCCACGCCAGTGCAAAGCCTGCAGCCTGGGCTCGCTGGGATGAAATGCATCTGCGTTGCAATTAGAAGGGGACTGCGCAATTGCACGGCGCTTCCAGCCCAAGGCGCTCACAGCTTTTAGACAAGAACAGCGAGCCAAGGTTTGCGTGCGATCGAAGCTTGGTTTTGACCTGGTTGCCAGGCAGACTGCACGTGCCAACATGTTGTGGTCAGAATTCCAGTGAAACTTGAGGCCCTGGCCGGTGATGAGACAGGCCACCAAGTTGTCGTTGTGGGCGCGCCTGCCGTCATCATGGAAACTCAATGCAAATTCACACGGACAACCTTGAACAGATCTGAAAATTCAGGTCAAGCTGCGATGCAAACGTGGCGCCGGTTTTTGTGTCTCATCGTGAGGGGTGGCCCAGAACAACCTCTTGAAATGTTGGTACTGCATTTTATCAAGGCTACGACTGCAGAATCTCCGGGCCTTTTGGCGAGCGTGTTGGAGCTCCAGCTTCCTGGAACATGCAGCCAAAATGCACCAACCGCTTGCTGAGAAGGGCGCTCGCAAATCAGCTCCACGCCTTTCCACTAAGATCTTCTGGCTCCCAGTTCCCTGCCTGGAGTGCAACAATGCTGTGATGCTGTGATGGACATGCCGGCACTCTGAGACCATGGCTTAGCCCCTTGCAACAAGAAGAGTTCCGAGGCGAAATGCCACGATGACCTTGGATGAAATGCATCTGCGTTGCAATTAGAAGGGGACTGCGCAATTGCACGGCGCTTCCAGCCCAAGGCGCTCACAGCTTTTAGACAAGAACAGCGAGCCAAGGTTTGCGTGCGATCGAAGCTTGGTTTTGACCTGGTTGCCAGGCAGACTGCACGTGCCAACATGTTGTAGTCAGAATTCCAGTGAAACTTGAGGCCCTGGCCGGTGATGAGACAGGCCACCAAGTTGTCGTTGTGGGCGCGCCTGCCGTCATCATGGAAACTCAATGCAAATTCACACGGACAACCTTGAACAGATCTGAAAATTCAGGTCAAGCTGCGATGCAAACGTGGCGCCGGTTTTTGTGTCTCATCGTGAGGGGTGGCCCAGAACAACCTCTTGAAATGTTGGTACTGCATTTTAGCAAGGCTACGACTGCAGAATCTCCGGGCCTTTTGGCGAGCGTGTTGGAGCTCCAGCTTCCTGGAACATGCAGCCAAAATGCACCAACCGCTTGCTGAGAAGGGCGCTCGCAAATCAGCTCCACGCCTTTCCACTAAGATCTTCTGGCTCCCAGTTCTCTGCCAGGAGTGCAACAATGCTGTGATGCTGTGATGGACATGCCGGCACTCTGAGACCATGGCTTAGCCCCTTGCAACAAGAAGAGTTCCGAGGCGAAATGCCACGATGACCTTGACAACAATTAAATGTTTGCCCTGCCCCCCCCCTCCCAACAACGTCTGAGTGCCTGACACTTCTCGTTGAATTCACACCAAGCAAATGCTGGCAAATGTTGCGGGGCCGGCCGGGATGTCTACAGTTTGGCTAAAAATGCACCAAGGGAAAACCTACAAAATCAGGTTAAATGCACTTCCAAGCTCCAAGCTTCATCACCCAGCTAAAGCTGCGTGATCAACCCCCGAACCCCCCCCCTAAAAAACAAAGCCTTTTCTAGAATGCACGAGCCAACAAAAAATCAAGGAGCACAAACCCAAATAAAATATGCACCCGATTTGTGGTCGACCTCGTGCATTCTAGAAAATCGGTCCAGACGGGTATCCTTTTTCTGCGTTCAGGCAGACCCGGACCCTCACTTTTTTGTTCAGGTCTGTCTTTTTCGGAGGGGACCCCTTTTTGTTCTGGCTTTTAGGGAAAACCAACAGGAAAACCAAAGCCGTTATAGTGAGTCCCCCAAAAAAGACGAGCCACCCAAAATGAATCTTGGTGGGTTGGAACCCTGTTGACTGGTGCAAGGCAAGGGCAATTGCAAAAGAGACGTCTACGAGTTGTTGAAGGCGTCCGATCCAATTGTGGGACACACACACACAAAATATGAAAGGCTAGACCTTCAATGGCATGTTCTTGACAAGTGTTTGCGTAGTTTTCCCGCTGACAATGTGTAAAGAGTGTCCTCTCCATGAACAGCAAACGGTTTAACCATGCACCTACCTTTAACCTAGGTTAAGCCTCCTGTTCAAGGACGTGGCCGTCTCGAAAAATTGGGCTTGGAGACCCTTTTTCCTGTTTTGGGGGAGGTGTCTTTGTTGCTTCCCTGTAAAACTGGAGGACCCGGGAGCTAACTCTCGCACCCCGCGCTCGCTTCGGCGCGGCTGAGCGGCTGGGGCTTCGGCCATGTGCAGGTTCGCGAAAGGACTGACATGCGGCATGGGCAGGGGGCCCGGTCCCGATGTCATGGCGGATTCAGGTCCCGGGTCCGAAGGAGACAGCCACCCATTCATTCATTCATTCATTCATCCATCCATCCATTCATTCATTCATTTATTCATGAAATTCAGGCGTGGGGCCGAAAAAACACTGGAGGCACATATGCGCAGGCTAAGCGGAATTATCTGGGTTCCCATGACCCTCTATGGCTTGGATTGGTGGGTTGGATTTGCTGAGACATAGGCAACCCCGGAACGCCAATCCATAGCGCCAATGAAGCGTAAGCTAGCATCCATTTGCTTGAGTCGCCCGAAAAATATAAACTAAAATAAAAATCCAGTAGCGATAGATTCCCTTAAAATCCAACAAGGGGAAACATATGATTGAGCAAATGCAAGCTAGGAACTATGTTCAGCAGGGAACCCAAACTTACTGGAGCCAAGCCTCGCCTGCGCGCCTTCAGAACTTCAGCCCAGGCTCAACCCATTCAAATCAAAGGGGTCCATGGGCCGCGCACGCCCTTTTTCGCAAACCAAACGGCCCGGACCAACACAACTGGTTACCCTTCTGGCAAATCCTGGTGAGGTCATCAAAAAGAGTAGCAAATAAGACAGAAAATAAACAAAGCAGGTGGCATCCGAACATGCGACATCCAGGCTGCTTTCATCTCATCCCCGTCTACAGGTGTGCGTGTCTGTGTCCGTGTGCGCGCGCCTGGCACACGTGTGCCAGCTTCGTGCCCGTGAGCAAAGTGCCTCTCTGCGAGACTGTGTCTGTGCCTGGTGACACCTGCGCAGCCCCTGTTGTACACACAATGTTACATGCATCGTTGTCCATGTGGGAGAAACGTACACATTCCAACATGACAATGTGCCTGTGCTATTGCAACGTGCAGTTAGAAATGAATGCATGTGCACCATAAATGATAATGCACAGGCTCAACTGTACTGGTCTGTCCTCAGATTCCCAACTAGAAGTTCAACTTTCCGTGGCTACATGAAAACCCGAGTTGCCCACAGTGAACCGACCTTCTAATCTTTTGGTTTTCCCATGTTGGTCTATTTTTCGTAAAGGTCCCCAAAACCTTTTGTTTCTGGGCCCAAAGGCCCTTTGCGCCCAGAAAGGTCCCTTTGCTTCCATTCAACCACAAACACATAACCGAAGTTGAACTGGATGGCTGGTTCCGAGCCGCCAAGTGCTTGCGTCGATGGGCAACATGCGCATCGCCCCAGCCCCCGCCCGAATCTCCCCGACCTCGAAGCGCTCTCGGCCAGAATCTGGCCCTCACCATCCACAAACCTCGGGGCGTACAGCTGGCTCGGTCCAGACTGGTGCCGAACAGGGCACCAAAGGGTAAATGGCAAACAAAGACCAAAGCTCAAGCAGATACGGAACAAACATGAGTTTGACCCCTCTTAATATAGAACATGACAGTAAATTTGACCGTTTCCTATACATGCATATGCATAGTTACTTATTCGTCTATTTAGTGCTGCGTTGCGCATGAACAACAAACACAAAAACAATATGCTCCTCAATTGCACGTGACGCAGCTGTACGCAATCGATAAGATAACTATTTAGGCAGCCAAAAACATGCGCTCTCCTGGAATCAGGTGCTAGATAGGGGGTCCGGCAAACCCAAAATAGAAACTTCTGTTGGTCCGAATCAAACACAGCACACGCTTGATCTCCTCAACATCCACGTTCACTGCCTTTTCTTGTGCTGACAGATTTTGCATCGCTCCTTCAGTCATCGCAAAGTAATTACACGACTGTTGAGGCATGATGGGCAAGTGCGAACATACCATCGATCTCCGGGTGTCTTACTCAGGACGACATAGTTCCTGAAGTTGGCCAAGATGTGGCATCCAAGGCATATGCACTGCCGTCACAGCATACACAGTACGTGAATATAGGCGTGTTCTGTTCAAGCTTGCAGATGGGCAAGGGAACCCAACCGAACTGGAAAAGCACCTGCAGAAAGTTGGGTGTTGGATGGGTCTGGCAAACTTTAAACGCCATCAAATCCATCTTCTAGTGTCCTTTCAGAACAAGGAACCAAAGGGAAGACCGCCTATTTCGGGGCCCCATTTTAACACATGACACAAGGGCCTAGACATGCCTAGACAATCTTACATGACCATCATGTGATCATGCCCTTGGTTTCAAAGTGTCTCACAACAAGTATGTGGTCGGAGGTACTTAGTTCTCGTGCTTCTTTTGGAAGCGCAGTAGTGCTCCAAGCCCTACCAGGTCCTCCAGTAGAGAGGTTAGAATAAAGGTACCCTTTTTTCTCTAGTCTATTTTAGTAGGGGAACCCTCCCAACCAAAAACGGGGTGAGAAAGGGCACCTTGGGGGACCTAGCCTATGCACTCAACAAGCGAAAAGGTGAGGTCCCGGGCTGCCAGATGCCTCCTGCGCGCCTCACCTCAGGATCGCGAGTCGCCGAAGTAGAGGCTCGTCCCGCTGCCCGCCGGTTTGAATCGAGAAGGTGTCACTCAATCCCTTTTCATGAAACGACTACACAGAAAAACACCGTTTACATGTTTACGGAAAAACAAAACAACTGTTTCAAGCTGTCACTCAATCCTTCAAATTTGTCGCAATAGCAGCACAGTTTACGTGTCTAGCGACCAGTCCCGAGGTTGAGACTTGGAACCCATTCCCTGCTAGACACGAAAACGCAGTCGACAGGGCCCCACGGAAATGCAGAAGAATGGCCTCCACAAATGATGCGGTCTGCTCCATGCGAAAAAAAATTCTCTCCTAAGGTTTGGGGAACCTGTATATACTGCATATGTAGACACATACACACACACACACAGGCTGGGGATAAAAGGGGTTGGGCACATACCCCAGCGACATGCTCCTGTTAGAGATATTTGGTCCTTGGGACCCCAAGGCTTTGCGATAGACACACCCCATACTCGCCCGAAGCATCCCACTCTCCCTCGGGTTCCGCGGGCGGTCCAAACTTCCCTGCGACAAGAATTTAACTTGTGGGCCCCCACACGACAAGAACCTAAAACCTAAGGAACCGGATGGCTGGTTCCAAATCGCCAAGTTCAACTTGACGGGAAATTGCAATGGGCTATGATGCGTTGCTCCTTTCAAAAGTTGCCGGGAGGGGGGTGTTTGCCAAACAACGAGTCCACAGGCAAGTGTCCTTCCTCCAATGGGTTCTTGCGCTTGAGCAAACTCCGCAAACCCCTCAGAAATGATGGGAACACAGCGGCAGAGATGAAACCTGGCACACGGGTTTGGATCTAAAGGCTCGTCTTGGATCATGTTCCTACACAAGCTATGGTCAATCTGGGCGGGGGGTGGGGGGGTGGGGGGCACAGCCTTGTAAGGTTGGGTTGAACTGAAACCAACAAGAAATTACAAGAAAACCACAAATTTGCAAAACAAATCAAAACATATTTTTGACACACACCCATATTCTTTGGGGCACGCCAATTTTCAGTCCAACAATGGGAAGCTTTCCATGGCAGTTCCCTCACGTACCCATCACCCGGCGCCTGCACCGCGTCAGCTTCGGCCAGGCACCGCACCTGCGGGCCCAAAGACCTAAGGCCTGAATGCCTCCTTTAGTGGCCGTCCAAACTGATCTGCTGAAAGCTCTGAAACCTTTTGGGTTAGATGGAACCCTCCCACTAAACCAACCAAAACCTAAAGAAAACTAAGGGGATGGCGGGGAAGCGCCAAGTGTAATGGGTGTTGAGTCTTAAAGGCATGGCGGCTGTCAGAGGTAAGGCCACCAACAAACTGAGTTGTGTATCTAGGTCCTCCAGATTTGAGAGGTTAGAATAAGTTGGTACCTGTTTTTTCCCGGTTTTTTCCCCCCCGTTTCTTTCCCCAGATAGCTGAAAGCTATAGGGGTTCTAACTTCTAATAAAGAGTGGAAAGCGATTTGCGAGATTGAGGGCCGGGTGCTAGGGGGCATGCAGTTTGGGGTGCTGGTGGATGCTGCTTTCCAAGCTTGACGGCCGGGTGTTAGGGGGCATGCAGTTTGGGGGTGCTGGTGGATGCTGCTTTGCGAGCTTGACGGCTGAGTGCTAAGGGGCATGCAGTTTGGGGTGCTGGTGGATGCTGCTTTGCGAGCTTGACGGCCGGGTGCTAAGGGGCATGCAGTTTGGGGTGCTGGTGGATGCGGTTTGGGGTGCTGGTGGATGCTGTTTTGCGAGCTTGACCGCCGGGTGCTAGGGGGCGTGCAGTTTGGGGTGCCGGTGGATGCTGTTTTGCGAGCTTGACGGCCGGGTGCTAGGGGGCATGCAGTTTGGGGTGCTGGTGGAGGGGCACGCAGTTTGGGGTGCTGGTGGATGCTGTTCGCGCGTAACAGTTCGTGGCTGGTGTATCGTCATGATGTTACCAACCACGTCATGATGCAACTGGGGTCACTGCGATGCTGCGTTATGGTTTGTGGTTGTAGTGGCGCCGTGATGCTGTCAACATCAGGATGATGCCAAATTTCATTACGCTGTCGCAAGATGGTTCGTGGCTGTATCATCATGATGCTGCCCTTACCATCAGCATGACGCTGTTTGCATCACCATGATGCTGTCCGCATCATCATGATGCTGTCCGCATCATCATGATGCTGTCGAACTCATCAGCATGATGCTCTCAACATCATCATTGTGCTGCTGAACTCATTAGGACGTTGTATGCGCGTTTGTAGCGCACCATGCTCAGTGGCTGTGGTATCATCATGGTGCTGTCTACATCATCAAATGCTGCGTCATGGTTCGTAGCCGTGTGTGCTATCTGGGGTCTATGCTGGTGTATTGTTTTTTAATGTAGTCTATTTTAGCAGCGGAACCCTCCCAACGACAAAAAAGTTGGTCAAAGGGCACCTGGCTGGGGGACCTAGGTATTGACATCGGCCATCTCGAAGATAGGTCTGTAGGACCAGGCAGGACTAAGCCGGCGGAAGGGCGCTGAGGGCTGGGGTAGGAATCTGCGTTGGTCGGACCCTTGAAAGTTCTGTCTACCATGTTTGATGTACTCTACTAGGTCCTCTAGATTTGAGAGGTTAGAATAAGTTGGTACCCACTTTTTTCTGTAGTCTAATTTAGTAGGGGAACCGAGTCTCCCAACCAAAAAAGGGGAGAGAAGAGCACTACTGGGGGACCTAGTCTATCAGAATGCATGCAGGCTCTTCAGTAAACACTTGAAGTGTTTACTCCCTATGTCCACTTCGACACCATTCGGGTTTAGGCAAGCTCCTTCTCAGGGTGTTCCTTCTGAACGCACCAGATCTGCCGATTGCCCAGGCACTTTGGCCTGCAGAATTCTTACGGCGCTTCTTCGGAAAGCTTGTGCTGGACTCTGGTGGCTCTTCCAGTGCTATGTGGGTCTTTCTAGCATGGTTCTGCTGGGAAACATCTTCGCCCCTGCTGGTTTCAAACCCGCTCCTGTGCATTTGGCGTCCAGTTTTGCATTAGTCGGGATTGAAACTAGGATCCACTCCTCCAAAGTACCTTCCAAGAAGGCATATGAACTCTTTTCACTCTGGCTCAATTCGAGCATCTGCCATTCCCCAACCCCCCCCAAAAAAAAGCGAGGAAAAACAACACAGAAAACAGAAGAAGCAGAAGAAGAAGAAGAAGAAGAAGAAGAAGAGTGTTGAATGGGGTGGCCTTCATCCTAGTTCAGTACCAGGCGTAGGGCTGATTTTTCCAAGTCTTCCCTCGAAGCCCTGCGCCTTGTGGTATGACCTCAGAGGGCTGGCAGTGACACCAGCAAATTCCGTCGAGGACCCGAGGCTGCCTATCCTTTCGAAGCCTTGCATAGCCTTGGGTTCCCCATGAGCCATGAAAACTCCCTTTCTTTGGTCGATGTAAAAGGAATCACTGCGGTTGAGGGTCCTTACTAGGTGGATGTTCACGTCAAACTCCCCAAGCAAATCATGAAAGGACTGCCACTGGGCGAGTGGGGTGGATGTCTCTCAAGCCAAAGGAATCGTGAACCGGGCGTTCCAGCGAATTCAGTAGCTTGGCTCAGGCGAGCAGAGACGTTGAAGCGGCTCAGATTCACAGACTTCCACGGTCCATTCTGTTGAGTTCCCGGAGAGGGAAGTCCACCTTTGCTTTTGGGAATTGTTAAAGGGGTGGTCCAAGGAGGGGGGATTTCCTAAGCCTCCCTAAAAAACTATTCAACCTGAAGGAATCCGAAACGGGCTCTCAACTACCCCCCTTTTGTACCTACCCCATGAGATTCCAAAATACCAGCCTGTTGTCCCAACCATGGCTCTCAACCAGGTTTTCCTGGTTGGTGCACTGTTCTCCTGAAAAACCTAGCAGGGGGAACTATGGGACATGCATAAAAAGGGCTCCCCTTGATTGACCAACCCCTCTTGGGAAAAGTGTGGGGTTTAGGCCCCCACTGTGCCCAAAATAGAACGTTGTACGGGGAAGGTTGCTTTATTGAGGCTAGCCCCCCCTACCGTCCTTACAGCTCCCGGTAGCTCCTCAGCCCCTTCGCCCCCCTCCAATCCCAGAAAGCGAGTTGGGATTTGCCTGGGCAACCTCATGGTGGCTCCCTTGTGCAGGGGGCCAAGGCCAGGTTGCAGGTTGCTTATATCAAAGCCAGCCCCGTAACTGCCTCTGAGACACACCCAAGTGGAGCAACTTGCCCAGTATGGCTGTTTTCGTTGGTCCAAAGTTGCACACCTGTTTGCATAAACAAACGGTGCCACTGAGCTCCTGCAGTCGCTTTCGTTTGGGCTGCCCCACTCTCCTTGCTGCTGGTAGAGTCCCGAGATGCCCACCGCTTGATCCTGGATTGATTCCGCACTGGGACATGTGCTTCAAGAGTGCCCAGAGTGCCCATGGCCATGCCAAGAGCCATGAATCACCCTGAGCACACGAGCACCTCAAAGGGTGCGGCTCAGTCCCCGTCACAAGGGTAGAAACAAATCCATCCTCGGACAAAATGAAAGAACTCCATGTCATTCTTTATACCCAAGCCTGGTCTGTTTCAGGTTCGGAGCCAGCTTCGCGCGTGTTGCTCACCGAAACACAAGGGGCTCGACTTAAAAGCTTCATGATGCCAACGCCTTTTTTTGGGAGCCGCCCTTGGCTTATCCGGGAAAACGCCTTCTCGATTGGCACACATCGGACGAATTGAATTCGCATGGTCCTTGACCTCGAGCTCCCATAGCTGGCCCTGACCGCAGCTTCGAAGCGCCGAAAAGCCCAAGGCTTTTGAACCACTTGGCCTTAGTGTCTTTGGTCAATCCCACTTCCAAGGAAGGAGAACCCTTTTACAGGGGGCACTGGACTTCCCCGCATCAAAAGTTGATCAATTTACTGGTGGTGTCCATTGAAACTGCTACTTTTGGCGGTTCCAACACAGGAAGTGGAGGAAACCCCGTTTTAGTTGCGTCCAGAAACCCTTCCAATGGGAAAACGCGGGTTGGACACTGGTTGCCTGTGGCCCTGCGGCTTGCATCTGCCAAGAGCATCGAGCCCCTAGAGTGTCACCTCCCACTGTACAGAACCCCAACCCAAAAGAAGCTGAAGAAAAGATGCCACATTCTCCAATTATCTACTCTGCGGAGCAAGTTATAGATACCTCAAATGGTTTCGGTTTGCGACTCTCATGAAGGCCTCTTTCTTGGGCGGGTGAGTCGCAAATTCGGGGACTTGGTGTCGGTTCACCAAGTTCAAACTGACCGCCAAGATGGTCTTCCAAATTCTCACTTCCTGAGTGGATTTCCGAAGAAAAAAACAAGTCCAGGAACGCGGGGTGTGAGAATTGTTGCGATTGTTAGTTGGGGTAGGATCCCTCAAGCCTAGGGAGGAAGCAGGCAGGCCAAACAAAGCTCGGCCCGCCTTAGGGCTTAGGTTTTTTTGGGTTTCGCTTTTCGAAGTCAGGGTCCAAGTTTTGCGCAAGTTGGCGGAAACAAACATTGTTGCTTGACACCATGTGGCTGATTGAACGGAAAACCACGAGGAAAACCATCCCTTGTTCTTTTGGTGGGTGTGTAGGGAGCACTTTTTGTTGGCTTTTGTGTAGGAAACAAAAGAGAAATCACCCTTTTGGAAATCCCCTATTTTGAGATACACCCGTGTTGATGTCCGAAGCAGGTGGAGGTGGGAAAGGGGCAATGATGCATGTTGGGGCATGGCACAGAATGCGGGCAGGTGCCACTGTGCACGCACTGCACCTTCGACACCTGGGTGTGTCGTTTTTTAGGGAACCCCCCCAAAAAAATGGTGATGTTCTGTTTCGTTTCCCTTTACAACCACCAAAAAAGGCACCCTCAAAAGAGACACATCGATATTGCCCTACAGTCACAAAGTAAAATTGCACATCATCCAATCACAGACCATGGTCCTTAGAGGGAAAGGCATCGTGGGGCATCCAAAGACTTGGGCGGACGTGTGTTCGACGTGATCCTCTGGGACTTCCCGAGGTGGGAAACGGTCCAGGTCCAAAAAGGAAGTGGTTTTTTAGCTGGCAGAAGTGCCCACGGACCCAGAAATACTTGCGGTCATCAGCTTTTGGGGGCAAATGACTCCAAATGGTTGCCAAATCAGGGAAACTCAAAGGTCAAAAGGTCGGTTCGACGGCTCCGGAGCAACCCATCGCCTGTCCGCTCACGACAAGAAATCCGTAGCGCCTGCTTGCACCAGCCGAGAAAGGACTCGATCTCCTGGACTTCAAAACCGAGTGAAAAACGGCCAGTGGAGTCTACCCATCACCGATTTTGGTCGGGGCTACGTGAAGTTGATCCGGCTTGTGGCTCATTTGTTGGAGTGGAATCCAAGAAGGGTGAGGTGCTCTTTGGGTTGCTGAAATGGCCCTTGAACCTCTGACCCAGTTGGACCCCCTTCGAAACACTTGAGCCGTTTTGCCAGTGAGGAAAAGTTGGTTGGCCTCAAAAACCTCGCCTCTGTCCAATGTCGTGGGGCCTGGGAGGGAGGGGAGGGGGCAGGGAGCCCAAATAAGGCATTCAGGGCTTACTAGGGGCTAATCCCTCCCTCCCCCGCAGGCCTCTGTTCATTGGAATTGGACGTTTTTGGGGCTTCCGAAGCCCAAACGGCAGGCAGTCAGCTTCGGTGATTGGCGTGGATCCGGCGCCCTAGAGGTACTACTCTTTCGGAGGAAAGCTGCAACTTGCAATTAATGACTTGCGCAACAATGTGTACGTATCACATATGCATATATATATATATATATATGTATACACATATGTACATTGTATCATATATATATGTATGTATGTAGTCATTGTGTATCTATCTATGCATATATATATATATGGCTGCCATATATATATATATGAAGGGGGGTTGTTGTAGAGATATCCCTGCCGTTTTCTTGGGGGGGGGGGGCAACACATTTTGCCCACACGACTCTGTCTCCAAATAGGCGCAACCGTCAATCTGGCCACTGAACAAGGCTTCAGAACGGAAACAGATCTGGCCCATTCTGTGTGGGCAGAGGTTCCCACATTCTAAAACAGACAGCCTTTTGGCTTCCAAGCCACCGAGGTATTTCCTTGATTGCGTTTGAACTACGCTAAACCCTGGTAGAGGTCTTTGTACTTAAAGAGTAAGTGGGTAATAACTATGGTTATAACCCACATACCATTGTCATAAGTTCCTAAGTGGGATATAACCAGGCTTAGCAACCACCTACTAAGAACCTTGCCCCTTTAAGTAGGTCAGGCTTTTGCTGGGTCGTGCCTTTCTTGCTCGGAAAGCTCCAAACCGGCGGTAGAGGTCTCCTTCACCCGCTGCGCTGCAGCCGGTCGGATCCTCAGACCCCAAAAAGGAAGTGAAGCAACAGACCCCACGCAAACCCAGTGCTCTGTCAAAAACAAGCTCGTTTTGGATCACGCCGGATTCGGTTCAAGTTTTGGTCAATTTTATGTTTGGACCCTCGGGTTGCCCCCCTCCTCCAATTTCAGTTTCAAAGTGGAGAGGATTACCCGCCATTCCTATTGCCTTCGGTGGTTTACCTAGGCCTGACCGGGGTTGAATCTAATGTCTGGGTACGCATGGCTCGTTCCGTGTAAGTCAGGCGCTCAGCTTGAGGAACGTGTGATACATCCCATTGACTCGCTGGTTCTCAGGAACTACCTAGGGTTTCGGGAATGAACCCAGGGGTCCCCTTAAAGGAAACCACACGGGATGAAATATTGGGGTCACTCCCTCATTTTTTACTGGGCATCAGCAAGTTAAAGGGTATGCACCAAGAAAGTTAGGGTACCAACCAAACGCGGGGTCCCTCCAAAAAGGTTGCAGTGGGCTTCACGTTCCCTGTGAATGAGCGAGGGGAACTTTTACGGAACATCCAATTTGATGTAAATAATGCATGAACAGCGGGGCAATCGGGGTTCTTCTGTCAAGATCCCTTTGGGCCTCTGCCTTTGCATAATGTGAACATCCTCTGCACACGCAAAAAAAAGTTCAGGAACCAATGAATATCGGTCAAGTTCAGTCATCTGCACAGAACTTAAGTGATAGTGAGATGTTACATGTTGGCTTCTATACAGCATGAGTTCCCAACTGGAGGTCCAGTGGTAGTTCAAGCAACCCCCAGCAATGGTCGCCCGAATCCCCCCCAAAACGCAAAAGCACTATCCACAAGCCCCGCGACTGAAATGTTTGGCTTCGAACACCGTCCAAAAAGGGCGAAGGACGTCCCTGTGCCCTGCAAACAAGGCCGGAACCGCTGCTTCACAGGGACCCTGAAATGCTGGATACAGACTTTGAGTGGGCACACAACTGTGGTTTCCCGGAACCATAACCTCAAATGCCCAGTGGGTTTCCATGGGGAAAAACAAGCATCGGCACCCTTTTTCTAGGAATTGGAACCCTTACCCAAAAAAAAGTGGAAAAAAGGAAGCAACCCGCAACAGAGCAACTATGGCTTCCCAAAACACAACCAGCTTGGGCGGTTCAACGTCGCCTCGGAAGCTACCTGGTTCCTGCTTTTTGCTTGGGCACGGACTTTTCGATCGCCTCGCATGGGGACAACGGTCGATTCCAACGAGGGAAGCTCCAAGGGGAACACCAAAACCTCATTGTGGTGGGTTCAATATCCGACTTGGAGCCAAACCCATTTGAAACAGCTGAACTAGCTATCATCATCATTCCACAGGAAACAGGGCGCTTCCCGAAGACTACCCCCCAATTAAAGGGAGAGATTCCCTTCTATCACAGAAGTGGGGGATAAACCCCGACTGATCAACCACAACCCTGCTAGCACACATGTTGGCCAATAAAACCGGACCCGTGGTGCGTTCTTTGCCCAGGTTCTTGAGGCGGTCCAAAAATGCAACACTCCGAAGCCCGAGATTTTGCCTCGCGGTCGTGGGCACAGGCCACCTCGTGCTTGCTCAGGAAGACCTTGGTGTGGCGTAGGATTGCGTCCGGGAGCTTTGTTGGTGTCACTCTACCATCGATCTTAAGGTTCCAGCCGTACAGGAGACCGAGGATCAACTGATAATCCATTGGATTCGAGTTGGCCAGTTCTCAATTTCCGCTGAACATACCAGAGGGCCCCTGTTGGAGGAAAGTTTCCTCTCTGCCAGGACTCCCGAGTCAGGTTCCATGTTTCTGGATGGGAGGGGAAGTAGAAAAAACACACTGCCAAGGAGTGCTCTTGATCTTTCTTTAGGGCCCAAAACACAATTGACAAACACAATGATTTGTCTTTATCTGCTGTTGACTTCTTTTTCCTTTGCCGCCAGGGGTCGTCGTCAAAATCAAAATCGGGTACACATGCAAAGACTTACCGAGGCGGAGATCCGCACCAATGGTTGAGCTTTGTTGCCACGTCCTCAAATATCCTACCTTCACAACCCTTGGTATGGGCGGCAACAAACAAACTGACGCTTTTTTGCAGCCCCCTACCAAAAGTAACAGAACCAAAACACCCAACAACACAACAACTTGACGCAAAAAACCTGGGGATTTCCCAATAAAGGAAACCACCAGTTGGATGGTTGTTCATAGGGCTCCTTCCCTGCATCTCCTGCACCAGCAAGTCTTGGCACGTCCAGCTAGACACCCAACCATGGCCCAAGGCTTCACTTCGAGAAAAGCCCTGGAGTCTCACCCATGTGGATGGGCCCAACAAGAATAACCACACTTTTTATGACTAAACTGGCCCAAACCCAAAAAGTTAAGTCCAGGAACTCATCAAGAGTTTAGAGTGGACCCTAATGTTGACCCAGGATCTAAGTAGACCCCTTCCTATTAGTTGGCCGGGGATTGGCCCCTCCAAAGGTCTCAATCCTCACCAACACAAAACACCCCCCCTGATTCGTCAAGGACTCGGGGTAAGCCGGGTTCGTAGATCTGCCAGTTTTGGGGTGCCCCGTGCTCTCAAAGTGACAAGGGATCGATCCCTGCCCAGGATAGAGCAAGCCGCAAAAAACCCACCCCCACCGCCCAAATGACTACCCAAGCGCAAATGGTGTAGGAATGCGTGTGTGTGTATATATATATATATATATTTAAAAAACATGCAACTTATACACCTATCGAGTTTCCGATCGATCGATCCATACTTACTAGCACGACGGACATGGGGGAAGGATTGCTAGCAGTTCTGTTCAGAATCCGTCCCTGCCAGTCTCATACTTCTGATAACATAAGCAACACAACGTACATGGCAACATCTCCCTTGCCTTCCTCTGCAACCAACTCTCAGTTGCCCCTCGTAGGGACCCAGAAATACACAGTGATCACCGAAATTTGGCTCCCAACAAAAAAAACGGATCTAAAAGCTCAGACCCACAAACAAAAACATAATGTTCCTTTGGGGTTCCCTGAAAAAAACAACGGGGGCCCTCGACAAATATCGAGCCCATTTGTCAGCCAACCACAGCATCGCACCAAAAACCCGCGGCGAGCTCGGCGAATGCAAAAGTCGTTCGGTCCCCGGCGTTGCCATCTGCTCTCTTGGCGGTGACCTGCCCGGCCGAGTGGCCGAGTGCCATGGCTCGTGCTTGGGCTTTGAATGACCCAGGGAAACACGAGCGAAGGGTGCGTCTCAAAAGAGGGGGACCTTCCCTGCAAGTCCTGGGACCCCCAAAAAAGGGTACCATGGATTTCAGCAACAACGACAACAACAACAACAACAACAACAACAACAACAACAACAACAACAACAACAACAACAACAACAACAACAACAAGAAGAACAACAACAAGAACAACAATAACAAGAACTTGTTGTTGTCGATGTCCAGAGAACCTCCGTTATAAAGCAACACAATTGCTGGGTACCAACCAAACACATCTTAGGCACGCTGACCTGGTACCCTTGTTGGTGATTCAAAACATGTATGGTTGTACCATGTTTTTGCTGCTCTCTTCCTGAGTAGATTGGCCAAACAAGTCAAAGCTTCTTATTCACTGCTAAAATTGGTCTCCCCAAGAAGTTTGAAGTCCAGAAACTAGGGAAGTGACACTTTAAGCGTATCACATTGAAGGTTTGGCCCCGTTACAAAAATACAGTTCATTAATAGTTGTGTTTCTAGACATTGAACAAATGCTTGTAAAGTTGCAAACATTGCCAAAAGGCAGCCACCAAAACAACCAAATCATCAGAGGGTTGCCTGTTTTAGGGCACTCGCATCTGGCTCAATGATTTTACAAGGTGTCCACAAGGCCAACAGGGCCCCCCCCTCCTCTCGTTAAAGGACACCAATAAAGAAAACGAGCCAAGAGAAACTTCTTAGGGGTTCTCATCGGGTTGCAGACCGTTCTGAATGGGGGGCTCCTGACTAATGACTAGCCGACTGGATGAACCGTTGAACCCTCTTTCCATTGGAACAAACGTTGAAACCTCTGCGATGTTTAGCCCTGGAATTAGAGACACACCTCATGTGAGAAAGACATTTTTTTGAATGGTGCTGCAGGGAAGCCAACAATTGAGTTTCTGGGCTAACATGGAGCCCAAAGAAGCCTCATGATAATAATAATTCGCCCGCCTGAGTGAAAAGACCTCCAAGACAGGAATTGTCATCTTGGGGCCCGACGTCGCGAATCTCTAAAGGGAAAGGTCGCTAGTGTCTTCCCATCAATGTTTGCAACCAACAAGGCAAAGGGAGGCTTGTCAAGCATGACTTGTCTGTTTTGGGGGTCATCAAAATATGTTCAAGCTCTAGGGGTTGATTCCCCATCGTTCTTAAACAAAAAAGCCGTTTTTTTTTCCTGGGTTTCTGGAGGTTTTCTACAAAGAAGGATCCCTGGAAAGAATGGGAAGGTATCCCTAGACAAGCACATTCCCAGACCTCCTAGCCAAGAAGAAAAAACCGTGCCTCTTTTTAGCCATTTCAACGAGAGAGAGGGCCACCTCCCAACGAACTTAGTAAGTAGATTCTGCTTCCAAATGGAAAAGAGGGGTGAACAGAAAATAAGTGAGTTGAACATGCCAATAACTTTTTCATGAAAATAAGCTGGAGTTGATATTAGAATGGGACACAGAATATGGATCCACTCTTATGGATCCACTAACCAACGCGAGCTCCTGCCAAAAACATCAGCTCGCCTGGTCCCCGGAGAGGCGATATCGCACGGTGACGGTCCAGGTGTCGTCAAGGCCCCAGTCTTCGATGATACGCCTCACTCTTCGTCGACTCGTTTCGGCTCACTCTTCAGGGATCCTTACATTATACACCTGAACATGGCAACTTGTAAATTTTAAATGGTGGTTTCCCTTGAATTTGGTGTTGAAAGAGCAACATGTGTCAAATGGTTGCAAAATGAATTTCTTTTAAGGAGCCCTGCTCTTCGACTCGTTTTTTCGGGGATGTCCAGAAGGAAGTTGGCGCCATCTTGTTGGGGCTTTCTGGGAAACAACACGGCTAGGTCATCCAGAATTGAAAGGTTGGAAGAAGTTGGTACCCATTTTTTCTGTAGTCTATTTTAGTAGGGGAACCGAATCTCCTCCAAAAAAGGGGAGAGAAGGGCACTACTGGAGGACCTAGACTAGAAAAACTTGCTGCAAAGATGGGTATTTGAGCGTGCCAGAGTTAAGGGCATGTCACATGAAAAGAAAGGGAGTTCAAGGGTCTCGGCCGGCTGTCACCAAGGTAAAACATTGATCCAATTTCAATCATCTACCCTTGTGGTTAGGTCATTTTTCCGACTCGGAAAGAACCGATTGTCCGGGAAGAATCGCTTGATTGCTAACCTTCAGTTCCCCCACCCCCCCCGCCCCTGGTCAAACCGTATTGCAAGCCTGGAGAGAGAGAAAGGGGGAGGAAGAGAAAAGCACCTGCAACGGACGCCCTGATGTTTGCAAGTAATTAGGCAAGATATACTGAAGAGAACGACCAATGCTCTTTTCGTGGCAGAGCTAAGCTGATCACAAAAGAACCGCGAAATGAAGGCCTCACATACTGGTACATTGTCACTCATTGCTGGCAGCTGTTGTTTTCTCATCCGTCTTGGATGGTGCCAGCCCCTGGTCAACCGAAATGCTTTGTTCAAATTAGTTATCACAATAAGAAGGGATTCCCCAACTCGAGTCTACCCCACAGAAAGACAAGTGCAACTGCAAACTAAATTCGGAGGGTCAGTCATCATTCAACTTTGAACGGGTGGGGATGGTAAATATGTGTATTACAGTACGCACATGTGCATAATATATATATATAAATACAGGTAGCGAGTGATTTGAATACACATAGAAATACAATTATACTTGTATCTGTTTACCTGCTCGTCGCGTTAGTTCAAACACAAACCAAACACAACACAATGCAGGACATCATGCAATCCGGCTTTGTCTCTCTCTCTCTCTCTCTCTCTTTCGCTCGACCCTGCTTGGGAAATATCATACGGTCGCCTCGCAAAGATTTGCTACACCACTAGAGACACCTCGCTTTCTTGCTGGCGCTCAGCAAGGGCTGAGGGATTTACCCTTATAAACTATCCCTTGTCATCTAAAAAAGCACCCTGGGTTCATTCCCACGTTAGCAAGTTGTTCAGCCCAAAGGTCTCTTTGGCCAAGCCCTGCGCAGAAAGCACTTCCGGCCTCCTCTTCCGGTCTCGCACTTCCTCATCCACGTAGACCAAGACGAGCACCGCCGCCTCTGAACCCAGCGCCTGCAGGGGCTCCAGCCCTCCGGTTGGGAAGGGAAAACGAAGAAAACCAACAAACAACCAAGCAACAACCCGGCAAAACTCAATCAAACAATCAACAAAACCAACAATCAATCAAACATCAACCAACAAAACCAACAAGGCCAACAAGGCCCAACAACAAACAATCAAACAATCAAACAATCAAGCTTGTTGCTGGTTGATGTCAGGAAACCCAGCAAATCGAAGCACCGCGAGCCAGTCTGGCCATGTTTGAACCTGTGGCTCCGAAAGCAATGGTACCAACACGTGTATGAAGATGCACGTTGACCATCGTAGGATCTACTCCGACCTTGCAAACAATTCTGGCCTCGAAACCAAAAATGGTATTGCCCTGTTTACAAATTGCGATGCCAGCCATTTGTGGTGGACCTAGGAAAACGTCCCAATTCCTTCTGGGCTGGCACAAGTTCTTCTTGGCTGTAGGTTGTGGGGAAACTCAGATGTACACAAACACCTCAGCTGGCTGGCTCTTGGAATTGCAGGAACAAAGTACACGTGCTCGTCCCTAAAGGCCGCCAAGTACCGATTCAAGGTCATTGTAGCCAAATAGGCATGTCTACAACGCACCTTTTGTATTGGAATTTCGAGAGCCTCACAAAAAAATCTATGCACGGTGGGGTTTGGAGATCTGAGGTTCTGCCGAGGCTCTGGAAAGTACATTTGCCCCTGCTCACGTAGTAGGCAAAGGAGAGGTAGGCAAATGAGAGGTCTGAAAGCGGTCTCAAATCAGTCTGATCAGTCAATTGGGTTTTTCTGGATAGGGGTCTCCATCCGGCCAGTTGTTGTGCTTCTGCCATAATGGTTCCAATTCTGGTTGGACAGTTTGCTTGTGATGGGCTGCACGTGCCATATGTTGGGGCTACTATTTTCGCGAGTTAGGTGCAGCTTTCTTCCTCAAAATGTCCCATTCGCCAGTGGCACCCAATCGCACCCATCACCTCAAAACAAAGCAGGTTTATGGGGCCGTCGAGACTCTGAGAAATTTACTTCGGCTTCCTGGAGAATATCCTGGAGACTTTTCTTTGACATAGGCATGCTTGCGTTGACGCTCAATTGACCTACAAAGCATTTGGAACCGAGGGGGTGCTCAGCAAGGTCAGGTTGCTGTAGGTGGACCCCAAGGCCTTCTAGGGCTGTGACATCCTTCCCTCCTTGGGCACTCGGGGATGGTGGTTTCGGGGGGTCTAGACTTACCCCTTAAAACTCCAAGCCCTGGGGAAGTTAATCTTTTACAGACATATAGCCCATGTTACCAAGCAAGTTGCAAAGTTGTGTTTTTAAGAGGGAAGTAGAGGTGGAGGCCAAGGTGGTGGCAGTCATGATGGTGGCTCAGGTGCGGTGCTCCTGTGGCGGGAAACCAGAGTGCACGGCAGTCAGCTGCGTACGTCTCCAGCAACAGCCAATTGGCTTGTTCCGTACGAGCACATCAGCTAGAGAGAGAACATATGTCAGTGACACCCTTCGATCGGCTTCGGCCGCCGCACTGCCCAACCTTCGCATGCGCTCGCCTCCAGAGCGTCCGCACTCAGCGGCCACAGCTCCCCATTGGCGCGCACGCCCTGCAAACGCCTGCAGGGACGAAATTGGGGTGACACGCAACTGGGTGTGGTGCCAGCTTGGGTTTGAAGCGAACGGACCACCATTGCGCGCCAGTTTTTGGGTGTCCGCGTCCTAAAGGACACATTCGCTCAGCATCCAGGAAAACCCAAAGGAGCCCATTTTCCACGGAAAGAATGGGCTAACTCAGCCAGGGCCTGAAACTATGGTGAGCTTCTGGGCACGGAAAGGACCGATTCAATCTGTTCCAGAAAAAGATGGATTTGTCTGGTGACACCAAATGGGGGCGTATAATTGTGGGGCCTTTAATCCAGCCAATGGCATGCGCCAGATCCTGGTGGGTGCCTATCTACACGCATCACACGGTTGTACTGTTTTTGGGGAAAACCCAATGCGGACATTGAACAACTAGAGAAAGCCCTCGTTTTGGTGAGGAAGTTGGCGCCACGCTTTTCCCCATTTGATGGTAGACTGGAGATGTTGACCAAGCCTCATGGTCTGCGTCAATTCAGGGCGCAAAGGGCAAGGGCACAACGCGTCCGCCTAAAGAAAAAACATGGGTTGAGAGCCTTTTTACTTGCAAACCAAAGCCTGGGCTCACTGAGTGAGGCCGCAAAGACGAAGTTTCTCTTTCGCTACAGGTCTTGCAGCAAGTGCACAAGGCCAAAACATGTACCATGTTGGACTCAAAACTCAGTCCCCCTCTTAAACCCAACGTCAATCTATCCGATAAGGTGGTCCAAACAGGACCCTGTAAGAATTAACATACCCCCTGCGTCCACAGCGTTTTTTTTGTCTGGGGTTGACATCATTCCCCAGAAAAGTGAGGTAGGGAGTAAGTAGTTGGAGTGGAAACCCAGTTGGGGTACTCGTTGAATCATATGTATTGGGAGAACCAACCAACCAAAACACCAAGGGGAAGCCAAACAGAATCTGACTTGGGGACCCTGCCACTCGCCGGCTCGCAGGGTGAGCTCGCTGCGGGCCACCTGATTCAAACAAAATCGCGGCACCCCCGTTCCTTTCAAGAAACAGCTCCCGGAGTAAACCAGCGCGCCGTGTTGATCGCACCTTGTTGGCCTCAGAATCCTGTCGCTCGCTAGTTAAACAAACTATGTTGAGCATCACGCAATGGAAACAAGCGTGTTCAGCATACACCTGGCAGCATTCGCTATCACATGACAAGAATAAACACCTCGCTCGTCGTGTAATTTAGAACAATGGAAACGCCAATTGTCTTTTGACCGGTTCCGTTCGAGCAAGCCAAACGGTTGAAACTGGACATCCTCCAAAAAGGTGTCTAAGCACTTGAAATGGGGGTGTAACTTGCATTTCCAAACAAAACAGGGGATAGGCCTAAATAAGGGCTAAAATCGCGGTGAAAAAAACATGAGTTGATCAGTGGGTATGACAAGTTGGATTCTCTTGATACCACAAAAAGTGGCAACAACCCAGCGTCCACAACTGTGGGATTGGTTCTGGGACCAAACCAAGGATTGAGTGGTCGGGTGAATGTAGAAAAAGCACCCAGTTGCATGACTGGGCAGCGGGAAACCCACAGGGTTGCTTTTGAAAAGCCGGAGGCGTTGCGAGAAAGGCGACCGCAAAACAAACAACCAACAACTAGTGGACTAACAGTCCCTTGTGCTGTGGCGGCAAAGCTCCAAAACAATAAAATCAAATGCAAGGCGCTATCCAGGGATAGTCTACAGGCCTTCTCCGAAAATCTTTGCTCTCAAGCTCCTGGAGGAAATCCAGCTGCGCTGCGTGTCTTCGAGCTTCAAGAGCGAGGACAATCCTACCTGCAGGGTATACCTGCTTCGTTGCACCAGAAGCTCCTCCTCAGCATCACCCGCGCACCAGCCCAGAAATTTGCCCCAAAACATCCCTGGCTTTGCGACAGGCTCCTGATGCCACCTTGCCCAACCTTCAAAAACACTGTAACTACCATGCAACTCGCCCCGGAAGTCGCCAGCATCCCCACAACATCCTCTACATCCTCGCCAGCTTCACCAGCATCCATTCCTGCATCAGCATCCGCTTTCCTCTGCATCGCGCCAACCCTCAAAAAACAGCTTTCTATGAGTAATGTGTGCGATCGAGTGAGCGAGGTTTCCGCGAAAGCGCGGCCGGCGACACAACGCGGAAAACATCGCAACTACCGTACCTTTGTCAAATTCCCGGGTTGTTGTGGGGCTGAGAGTGGATGCCGCGGAGGCAATCTTAGTCGGATTGGCTTTGAGTGAGCAACCCCTGCAGCCAACCACCGCTTGCCAGTGACGGCGAAACTTAGATCATCAGGGTTGACCTGCGATTCATCAGGAGCTCTAAAGCAAGCATCACAGAAAGTGGCAACCTAAATTTTAAGCAACTCACCGTCAACACAACTGTACGCCATCATAAATTGCTCCCTAGCAAAGCAAAACGGATCCCAGAAGTTCAAGCAAAGGGAAACCAGCGCAGCTGGTGATGGCAAAGCCCTAGGATACCCAAAGAACATAAATGTCCCAAAGATGCAATCAACTATTGCCGGACAATCGGAACTAAGCGCTGAAAAGCGTCAACTCGCTTCCCTGTAAATTTATCTCGGTGCACTCGGTGCGTGCTCAGTGCTGTCGCTGATAGCGGCCGCAATGAATTTATGTGAAACTTATCGCGCTGAACATTTCACCTGTCACTTGTAGCACCCGTTTTGGTGCACCGCCCCCCAAATGGAAAGTAGCTTTGCCCCTTGGTTTCCCTCCAGAACTTCACCACCCCAAAAAAACACAGGGCGCCCTTTAAAAAAACGACACACCCACCGCCCGGAAAAAAAAAAGAAGGCCTGCTGCTTCTGCTCATGTCGCAGGCCGAGTGCCTCGCTTCCCAGTGGCCCAACAATCAATCGAGGAACCAAGCAACTTAGACATGTTTTGTGACTGCGCTGTCCGTTTTCAGATCCGCGGCAAAAAGCGAATAACTTATGGGTTGCAGGGGAAACCCAACCACGAAACCCTAAAAAACTAAACTAAAAGTTTGGTTGAACTTGTGGCTGAAATGGACACCCAACAAATAAACTAACTAAACCCAACTGAACAACGAAAGGAGCGCTGGGAACCGGCAAGGTGGGTCCAAAAGATTACCCCCTGGAAGCTGAGGGGCAAGTTTTGAAGCCCAAAACATCCACTTCCACATTTTCTTGAACAGGGTGGTCTACGTGGCCGCAATGTCCGAAAAAGGCCAAAGAACCGTACCAAAGGTGAATCTCCTCGATTCCGAGCTCACGAGTGATTCATGAGTGATAGCTTCAGGTGGCCTCACCCGGCATGGAACCTTGGTGAGTAAATCCTACTAAACTCACTTCCGATCAAGTGGATTGGCCAAAAGAGTTGTTTTGTGTTTTGTTCTCTTTTTTGCACCACTAAAAAGATCTTCCCAAAGATCAATTCAACGGAACTCAGGAAGTAAGCTTTTCATTATTGTAATTGGAGAAAGGTACCCCATATCAGCCTCGCTACTGCAGCAAATACCCGGTGTGTCTTGTTTCCGTGCTTGTGTGCCTCTTAGTGGCAATCCTTGTCCAACTTTCCTCGGGGGATCCATGGCCGCCCCTCCTCAAGAAAACCAACTCTTTAACCATGAACAGGGTGCAAAGCCAAAGCGGCCCCCCTAAACCAGCAAGACACCACACGCTTGTTATGAGTGGATGGGCTAAACAAAGTGCAAAACTGGTTGTTGAATGAGGTCTGTCTACCACTAACATGGTATTCCCAAACAAAGAATGCAGTCGAGGAACTCAGGGAGTGTCCAAAGAATGGTCCTTTCTTGGACCTTGCCTCTTGGACCTCGCATCCCCCAAAATCCATGCCGGCCTTCCGTGCTTTCGGTGTCTTGGCCTGCGAGAAAGGCGGTTGTGGGGTTCATTCATGGCATGGGAATTCCAAGACTTGCTGTTGCGATAGGCAGGGAACGAAACTTGGAATGTTCCTTGTGGTTTCCTTTAAGGGGACCCTTGGGTTCATTCCCACATTTCCTCTTGAGCACCAGGAAAGGACAATGAGAACCATGGCGGCCCAATCCCTATTTCATATATCCGCTTCCAGAAACCTTCACCTGGCTCAGCATGTATCCATTCTGGAAGACCTGGCAACCACCCTTCGTGCCTGGATTGAATCTCGCATTAGACATGGCCCTTCAGCTCCAGCTGTTGCAGCGGACCCGAAAGATCGGCTGGGAGCCCAAGCTGACCTGAACTCAGGTTGAAGGGCAATAGATACAGGCTCTGACTGAAAAACGCGACAAGCAAAACCACCATTCTGAACCCAGCGTTTGTGTTTGTGTGTAATTCCTCCATCATTTGCAGCAATCCTTCTCTTGGTTAAATCGTACAACAAAAGAAGGGGAACGGTGATCATAATGGGGGGGGCCGATTTAGACTGTCTTAGCCTTTCGTTGTTGGATGATTCAAGGGAAACAGGGGAACAGTGTCTAAGCCATGAGGAACAGCAAATCCGACACTTCTTCCTGATTCTAAAGACGAAGCCTCAAACCAAAGCGCTCAGGGTCCCTTGGTTCCTTGTTGGAGGTACCAAATGACCCATTTCAACCCCCCAAAAAATCCGTCCAAGGGTACCAAGGCACGCTCAAGGCGAATCGCCTCCTTCGCCTGGCGCTTCAGGGCGTAGTTCTTGACGCCTGCCGGGCGAGAGGGCTGAGAGGACAAGTAGCTGGCCCCAGAAAGCGCTAGCCTAGGACCTTAGGATAGCCCAGGCGCGTTTCGCATGGCTTCTTGTTCAGTTTCAATGGATTCTAAAATGGAGCCTTGCGTCCTTGTTTCTTGCGCAGTCGCCAACACAACAGCGCCAGTACCTCCTTTTTGACTGCATGGCTTCTTTACGCGATGCCATCCAACTGTCCGGCTCCAAGCTTGCTACAAGCCCAAACAATAGATGATGAACCCAATGACTAAGGAGGAACTGCCCCTGAGTAGTAGGTTAGTACAGTGCTCCGGATTTATCCGAAGTTAACATTAGAGTACGGAAGGGTTTGCCACTTCCAGTGGCACGTCACCTACGGCACAGCACGGTAGTTCCAATACCTAAAGGCCCTTACTGGTCGCCACATCATAACCTGGAACAAATACGGGCATTAACAGGATAGCTACCGGGGGCTTACGGCCATGTGACGTTTCATTGGTTGGCACCCCTTGTTGGGATTCCCTTCCAAAACGCGCACGACATAGGGTTGTCTGATGGCCTCAATTGGGTTTGTTTAAGCAAAAGCAAACAAAGCAGCAAAACATGTGTTCAAAACATGTGTGTGTGTGTGTTTTTTTTGTTAAACGTCCGTTTCCAGAGTCTTGAGAAAGGCACTGCGTGCCCAAAAGCGTTGGAAGCAGCAGTTCGCCCCCGAAGGGCAATGATTTGCACCGGGAAGCTCCGCTGCGACCCTCCAACTGGTATCAAAGGATTCTACCCAAGACCACGTAAGCACAAAAAGCACGGGACAAGCTACCTATCTGCCTGCGACAAAAACTACACTGCAACTACCCGTTCGAATCTTAATGTCTTCCTTGAAAGCCGAATGATCATGCAGCAGCATTAGCCCTCGCAGCATTCCTGCAAGCATCGCGAGACGTTTAACTGCTTGCAGCGTTCAGATGTGCTGGCACTTTGTCCGACTTCTGCTCGTCTTGTTTTCGTCTCCGGTGTTTTTTCCCGGTTGGGCGTGTCTCCTTTTTGAGGTCGCCCTTAAGCCTTATCTGGTGCTGTTGTCAGAAGACAACCAACAGGGAAATCACCATTTTGAAAAGTCCCTTAGACAAGACGCACCCCAAGCTGCATTCACCTCATATGTTTGAGGCAATTCTCCCCTGCAAATTAACATGGGACCTCCAAAAGGGCGCCATTTCCCAAAGAAGATGTCTCGACAGATTGTAGTTTCATGTGCTGTAGGAAAGTACCCAGAAATTCGGGGAATTAATTCGCCGACCACAACTCTGGGTTGCAAGCTCCCATTTTAGGTT